CGAGTAGAAAAATACATAGTCTCAGAAAGCTACTATAACATAATTTTCCTTTTATTATATACCTTTTCGTTTTATTCAGAAAATGAAATGTAGTTGTCAAGAAATAAATTCATGACTGACGGATAAATACGTAATTCTTGCAAACCGGACACGCCTTTAGTAATTTTGGTTCCCGTTTTCAAATGCAACGTTATACAAAGCTAAGATCGGAACCAACGTCAAAAATAGTCCGGCACTTCCATATATGGTACCGTATTTGTCACTAACATAATACGGAAATTTCTATCCGTTGAAGCGTATTTGCGCTTCAATATTTGCGTGTATTTTAGGGAGAAAATTTATAGGTATATGATAAATAAAAATATCTTGGTAGGGATCATTTGAAAAATGTGGCCATCCTTTTTTCTGAATGTTAGGTTATTTTCTGGTTCTTTTGGGATTTCTGAATTGACTTACTTCATTATGTAGATTGGATGTTGCTTTAGCCGGTGCTAAGGAGCGTGAACAATGTACTTGTATTGTCTCTCGTGTGCAGTCACAATAGAACATGGCGTCCGTGGTTGAGTGGTTAAAGTTTTTGACTTCAAACCACTTGTCCATCACTGCCGTGGGTTCGAATCCAGCCAGGGCATTCGGATTCTTATATGTGAGGAAGAGCCCGATTCCTTTTTCTGTTTTGCATAACTCTCGAAGAATCTTACCGTTGCATAATTTCTGTATATAAATGCACTTTCTTACCCCTTCTATCGTTTGAAAAGTACTTTTGACACAAGTTATCGATATATCCTCTTCAAGTCTTATGGGAAATTATGCTTTCCGGTGCTAAGGGTGGGGGAGGCGTCAAAGATTGCTTTTTATTGACTCTCTTGAACAGTCATGAACCAAGCCTGCGATTATCGTTTAATTTGAAACTCTCAATGAATCTTATCTTTGAAAAATATCTAACAATTATATTAGTACTCTTTCAGACAAATTCCACCATTTGAAAACCTTTTAAGAACGAATTTTTTAGACTTGTTTTTTCACTATGAAAAAATATCGTTATAGATGGCGGTGCGTCAAAGATATTGCACTTTTTAAAATTTTATCTCTTTAAAAGACTTACTCAAAATTAATTTTCAAAATTAATTTTTGATTTTCACTCAAATAACATTGTTATTATGGTTTTTGAGGGATCTCTGCCTAATAGATCCATTAACTCCATATTCCTCTTTTTGTACAGAACTTGTGTTACCCATTGAAAGGCAAGTAGTATTAAAATAATAGTGCACCTTCTTACAATAATGCATCAAGTACAGTTTCATATTATTTTTGTGGAAAAAAAATGAAATACATGTACTTGTGAAAGCAACAGGATTTTCGAAAAATCGTGTTGTGGCGACAAATTCGAATTAATTTTGTTTCTGTTCGAAGCATTGATTTCAAATTTAATCTTTTCGTTTGAATTAAATTGATGATATGCTTCGTTTCTTAATGTACCTTTTACTACCCCCACAAACACCTCCCCTTCTCGTCAATGTCCGGTTCGATTTGTTGTTGGAGGCTGCCTTCTTTGAACGGCGCTCTCCCTTTAATGATCTTTTTGTATTCGAATTATCTGAGTTATCTAATAAATAAAATGCATACTTACTTGAATATTTTAAATTTCTTTTTTAATTACCTATCGATTTATACCTATATAAATTACTAGAGAATTCTTGCTGTTGTCGGCGGAAGTTATCAATTCAAAATGTCATTTAAAAATGTAGTTCAGCATACATGTACATGTAAAGCATATTGTTATGATAAAATGAAAAGAAATGAATATGTTTCAAATGACAACTGACAATGGGGCGAAAGTAATTAACGGTTTAGTTAATCAGTGAATCTTTGAATACTATACCCTGTTTTTATTTTCTTTCTGCTGAAACCGAAGGTGATAATATATGAAAAACAAAATCAACAGGGAAGGGCAAGGCACACTCGTGCATTCTGGCCACGCCCATTACTGTTGGTTAATAATGATTGCATTTTGAAATTGAAATCCCTTTAACATTGAATGGACTGATGAAAATTCAGGGAAAGAAACATAGCAGGTTAAGGGTTAATATGATACATCCACTTTTTGGTTGCATACATAATTTTGTCTGGGATTATAAACCTTACTAGTTGCAAACTCCGGTTACGCTACGGCCAGTATCCTGTAAGGGGAGATCACTGTGTGGGAGTTTGTAGCTGACTGGCGTTCAGTGTTAAAACTTTGAAGGTTGATTGCATCAATTTATATAGTATATCAATAACAGGTCATAGAGTTAGCAAAGGCCTTTATCAATGTACGCATGACTTCAACCTTGAATGAAGAATGACCCTCAGAAAGACACGTGACCTTACTCGAAGATAAGACATACCAGACAACAGATAAAATGACATCAGACATGACCTATCTATATGGTCAAGTCAAAGATAAATCATTTCTAAATAAAAGTACATTTATCACATGACAAAAACAACGTATAACGTACTTTCAGGCAAACAATTTTTCTGCAAAGAAAGAATAACTCGAGATACTTGTATGCAATCATCTTGATGTATACGTAAATAATAATGTTCCTCGATATACACGTATATAGTAATATTCCTTTCGATTTACATGTACATGTTTATAATGATGCTTCTCGATATACAAGTAAACAATCATGTTCCTCTATATACCCGTATGGACACGTATAAAATCATGCTCCTCCACATGCACGTATATAATTATATTCCATGATATACACGTATATAATCATGTTCCTCCAAATGCATGTATATAATCATATTCCGTGATATACACGTATATCATTTGACATAACAAAGGAATAAACAACTAGATGTAGCACTCACAAAAACTAATTTACAGGATTCTTTGTTTCAACTAATAAATGGAAAAGAAAACCTAAAAACTTAAAAATGCGACAACTTTTTTATTTAAGACCTTTTGCAAGGAAACTGTAATATCAATGTCAAGGTATTCATTGTTCACACGTACCTTCCCAAATCTCATAAATTTATTAATGTTATGTTTAAATATTGAGCACAAATGGACCTTAAACATATATAAATGACCCGCGCCATGACAAAACCAACATAGTGCGTTTGCGACCAGCATGGATCCAGACCAGCCTGCTCATCCGCGTAGTGTGAATAGGATCCATGCTGTTCACTATCAATTGCTCTACTTGTAATAGTGTTTCTAAGCGAACCGCATGTGTATTGATCATACTGCGCGAATGCGCAGGCTGGTCTGGATCCATGCTGGTTGCAAACACACTTTGTTGGTTTTGTCATTGTTTGGCGCAAATATTATTTTCCCGAGATCGCTAGATGTCTCTTCACTATAAACAATAAAAATTTAAGCTTCAAAGGTGATCAATCTAAATAGGCTTTTATTTGGCCTTTTTTAAAAACAAAATTATCGTTCTGATCTATCAAATCTTCTTTGATCTACCTCTTTAGTCATAAACATACTACATTTAGGAGAACTTATCTTAATCATTTAAATTCTATAATTGTTTTAATTTAATTCTAAATGAATTTCTATTAATTGTTAGTTGAAATGCTTGAAAGGTTTATGAAATGAAATAAATAAATTATTATTCAACCGGTGCAATTCATTTTCTATGTCTATGTACAATAATGAGACTAATTGCTGTACATGATATAACTTGCATATCTTAATTTAAACGAAAACGAACCCCTTAATCTAATGAACATCAACTCCTTGTTGGTTTCCTGTGCAAAAAAGTTTACCTTTGATCTCTCAAGTCTAAGCATTTTCATTGGTCAGTGTAGAAAGGTTCTTTATAACATCTGACCCTGAACTACTAGAGGTCTGCCCCATTGTCAGAGACGAGACACGCTTGTACCTCTAGGATACGCCTACTTTTTACCTCGCGTTCATACATACATGTATTTCAAGCCCTAATAAGGATATGGCAAAAGGAGATCCTTTGAGAGCAAGGAATACAAAATTGAAATTTAATAAATTTAATAAATTAATTTGAAAATTTAAATTCAAAATTTCAGACTATGATTGAATCTTTTCATAAGAGATAACGTAAGGTGCAAAATCTCACACATCTCTAATTTATGAATAAATAATGATTTAATGAAAATTATGTTATATAAATCTGTAATTTGTAATATATTACTACTCTATTAATAATTGGTTATGTGGTCTATAGTTTGTATCCCTCCACACCCCTAATATCGTATCCTCCCACAATCCTAGATTCAAATCCCTCAAAATCCCTAGCATCACCGCATACCTCAACATCCTTAATACACGCGCAACATCGCTCCTTAAACAACCCTGGCATCGCATCCTTCCACACTCCTAGCATCGCATCCCTCAACACCCTTAATACACGCGCAGCATCGCTCCTTAAACAACCCTGGCGTCGCATCCCTAAACATCCCTAGTATCGCATCCCTCAAGACGCCTAACATCGCAACCCTCCACAACTGTATCATCGCTGCCCTTAACACACCTAGCATACTTTCGAAACACCTGGCATCGCATCCATCAACGCTCCTAGTATCGCATCCCTTCTGAAGTCACGCATCACATTCCTCAACACGCCTGACATCGCATCCCTCAACACGCCCCATCTTATCTTTCAATATCGCTAGTATCGCATCCCTCAACACCCTTAGTATCGCATCGCTCGACACGCCTAGTATCGCATCACTCGACACCCCTAGTATTGCATACCTCAACAACTCAAGCATTGCATCCCTCAACACGCCTAGTATGGCATCCAATATCTTTACGCACTGCATCTCTCAACAGCCTTAGAATCGATTTACTTTATTCCCATCACGTATCAAACTATCATAGTTTTTTAATGAAGTTATGTAGCAATTGTTTCAATATTTCATTGAGCATATGAACATATTTACAATGTTCTTTAGCCACATTTATGCTGCCATAAAACATCAACATTATAATGTGTTAAAGATTTAATGATTACCTTGTTTATTTATAGAGGTATGTTGGAGAGCAGTTTAGCAGCTCTATTTGTCTTTGCCATTGCAACGTGTGCTAATGCTGCAAGCATCGGAACAAAGCATGGCAACCAACCAACTCTTCTAGACACGGTCCACGGTATCGTCAATGAAATCATTGCTCAGGGTATGTCAAACACATTGTATAGTCACGTTGTTTCCAATTGCTTTAATTGTTGTTTTAAACGATATAATAATATACTTTATATATAATTTAGATGCAAGCACTGTGTCAAGCACAAAGGACAATTCTCTGATCTTATGGACTAATTTGTTTTCTTTTTTATAAAAAAAATACTTAATTTAGTCTAAATCTAACAATTACGAAACGTTCAAATAAGGATCAGTAGCGACTGACCACTTAATTATTTGACTTACATAGCATTTGGCTCCATTCTTTTACGGAAGGAACTGCAACAGAATCTGATATGACTGCAGTGTTGACAATCAACTTGCTAGGCTAGGAGTTTTGTGGTCATTTCTTTGTTATTTAAAAGGGATTTATTCAAACTAAGTTCAATTGCAGTGTTCTTTCCTATTAATTTGTTGGTAAATGAGAATAACGTTAAGTTATAATTAAACCACTTTTTGGTGTGTCATTTTTTCTTCAGCTAGTACCACGCCAAGACCGGTGCCTGGTAAAATGAACGTATGTGAGAACCTTTGTCCAAAATGGTGCCAGAAAATTGAAGGAATTGATAGAAACTTTACAAACTGTCATTATATGTGTGGCAATTTGTGTAGCATCAAGGTATAAATTTCTTTTTCAATCATATCTCCAGTTAAGCAAGCAATTATATGTTCTTTAAGCCATTCTGATATTGAAAGGGTGAATATTTCTTGCGCGTTATAAAATCTTCGTTATTATGTTACAGTCACGAAATAGCTAATGTAAAACATGCTATAGAAACAGAAAGAAGTGGAGGAAAGTTCAGAGTCATTTAACTACAAAATGTATTTGTTTCCATGCAAATTGGAATGTCAGGATTATATTGCCAAACAAGGATATCAATACAAATGAATTTGAAATTAATTTTAAAGTTCTTCTTTTCATGTCAAATAAAAGATCACCAGTACAATTTCATAAACATCAAATGTTTTGAATGATATATTTGCAGACGAGACAAACCAACCCATTTATTGGAAATTTGAAATTCGAAGTTGTTCCAAGCGAGTATGATTTCGCTCGATATGACTTAAATCAAGACAAACACATTTCAATCCGTGAGTTTGCACACGTGGAAGGCATTCCAGTTGACGAGGCGGTCGCCTTCTTTAACTTTTCAGATTTCAACAGTAAGTTTTCAGATAATTGATTGCATGATTCTAGCAAAGTATACATGTGATGTATATGTTCGTGCCAGCTTTTGTATTTTGTTGTCACTAACGAAATTTACAATTATCAGTTTTAAAGACAGAAATTTAAAATTGCCTATATCCATATGTGCCTAGCATACTGGACCTTTTTACAGTTCCATGGAAGTTGGATCACTAGCCATCCAATTGCTAAACTGTGATATTCATATATATTCACTGGTTGACCTGGTTCACACAAAAAGAACAAATTGTTTTCTTTGTGATACTATTTAAAGTAGTTGACCTTGACACAAACCTTGACACAAACAGAAATGGTGGGTCTGAATTATTCACTGCTTAACCTGGAAAATAAAGAACCATTACCATGCAAATACCTGAAAAGAAATAGATCGCTTTAGAAGAAGAGACTGATTCGTATAGTCAATGTGATTTGATATTTACTTGTAACGATATTTTGCTTCTCTTTAGATGATGGTTTCATTGATTCAGATGAATTTCAAGGAGGACCGTTAGTGTTCACGGGTAAATTTTATAACCGATTTGTCAGTAAGGTACAAAGAGTATTGATCAAATTGATGAATTTATTATTAGTTCGTTATCGATAAAGTAAACTTTATTTATAAAGTATTTTAATTCAAGATGATCAAATATTGAAAATTGTATTTCAAAGATACCATGTGTATAACAAGAATAGTAATATTAGTGTGTTCTTTTTTCTTTTCTGCTAAATTAACGTTCGACATTATTCGATGTATATAGTTTCTTAACGTTACGTTCTATGAAGTGAAACAACAACATTCATTTAAAGTTTTGATGCCGGTTAACTTTATATTATGATCATTCATTTTCATTTCTTTATTTCAGTACAAATGGCGTCAGAACTAAGTTCCATCACCATGAGTAAATAAACAGTGTAAACAATAACTGCGCAACAGTTTATTTCATCTATAACGCTAAATCGTAAAACAATTTAATGATATATTATTCTGCTTATATTTGATAAATGTGTTATCACATTATTAAGATAGTGATGGGATCAGAATTGTATCCCCTTGACGACAAAATAACACACCAAAAACATTTTTAGCACATGTATTTTCTAAGTCAAATAGTGTGTAATAACTTTACGTAACTTTGTCATTTCATATCAAATTCCTAACAAAATTAATATGAGAGTTTTATTCTTACAACTTTTATTATAAAATTGTTGCATAATCAGTCACGTGTTAGTTCTAAGTGAAAGAAGATATACTTTAAACATTTAGTTACCATTATTCCATACTAGCTTAAAACCCATATCACAGTTCACTAAAATGAATTAGTCTACTAATTGAAAATGTCTGTTATTTATTTGCCAAATCAACAAAGTAATTAAGAAAATAAAATAGAACTTTTAAACATGTCTTGTTGCTTTTTTGCATCTTTTTGCATCAACCTTTGAACATACATGCAGTTGTTGCCTATTATAAATAAGGGAAGTAATGACCAGATGCGTTGTTGAAAAGCGATATATTGCCTTCTTTCAACGTCGTTACTTCTTGCACATTTCCCGGCCAAACAATATCAAAACGTGTAAAGATATAGTTCGGTGCCATTGATCATATTAGATAATCAGAACAAAAAAACTTACAAAGTAAACTTTTACAATGAAAAGTTGGCAAAGATCAGTACATGCGTTCAAACACATCGCTACAAAAATACTTATTGATAAAGCACTACATCAATGTCGCAACTAAAATAAAATGACAACTTTTCACATATTCTCGAAGCCTGAACTAAGGGATGTCGACAGGTAAGGATACGAATTAACCTCAATAGCAGACTTTAAATAAAAGGAAACATTTAATATGGAGCTTTATATGGAGTGAGAAAATTGCAAATTCGGTTTGATTGATAATTTTGGTGCCCAAAATGTTTCCGATGGTATAGTGAGGCTGGATGTTGTCTCACGTGGATGATGTCCTCTCCCATATTGATATTATCTCTTATATATTATAAAGTGGCAAATCTGATTATTACCCAGTCACATTCCATCATTGCTGAATGCCGAACCTAAAACTCTGTAATTGATTTTATTTTAAAAAGATAATCTGCAAAAATTAAAATGACGCCCACCATAGAAAAATTAAAAAATGTTGCAGGGCCCGGGGTTTGACGGGCGTTCT